CCCTGCCCCAAGCAGGAATGGGTGCCACAGTCATATCACACCAGCCGAATATCTGTCCAGCCTCCTCTTGAAGACTCTCAAGGTAGGAGAGAGTACCACCTCACTTGGGAGCCCATTTCAGAGCCTGGCAGCTCTGACTGTAAAGTAATGTCTCCTGATGTCTAGCCTGAACCTTCTCTCGAACAATTTGTGGCTGTTATTCCTAGTAACCCCAGGTGGTGCCTGGGGGAACAGAGCCTCCCCCAATACTCGCTGATTCTTCCTGGTGAGTTTGTAAATGGCCAGCAGATCCCCTCTCAGCCTTCTCTTATGGAGACTGAATAGGTTCAGGCCCTTTAGCCTCTCCTCATAGGGCCTGCCCCACTGCCCCTTGACCATACAAGTGGCCCTCCTCTGAACCCTCTCAATGCTAGCCACATCCCTCTTGAACTGCGGCGCCCAGAACTGGATTTAGTACTCCAACTGCAGCCTGACCAGTGCTGCATATAGGGGAAGGATGAAACTATGAAATTGCTCCTTAATCCTGGGCACCTTTCTGGGACCAGACAGGAAAGAAGGACAACTAAAGGCAGCCATCTCAAAAATGCTGGAACTAGTAAATAATTACGCATGATCTTCACTCCATTATTAATTCCATGTAGTGTCTTCAGGTCAGTTAGTAAATTTGCAACCTAATTAAACCACTTCCTTTGCATCTTCCCTTTCATCTTGCTTAGTCAGGACAAGTATTTTAGATAATTTGGCCCCAAATAGCTATTAAAAAAAATCTCTATTTACTGTTCGTTTTATTGACAATGTTTATTCTACATATTGTCTGGCCACTGGACAGGCAGTACTATCTGTAGTATTCTAATTAAGCACAAATATTTTGGTAGCCCTTATGGGGAACTGGATGCACTGGGTATTTCAACCTCTCTTATAAGTATCAAGTTGAAAAGCATGTTAAAATTGCTCTCTCCCCCTCTCTGTGGTGCAAAGATATTTTCAAAGGCATTTTTTATTATTAGGACATAGAGTTCAAAAATTCCAGAGTGCACGTACATGCTTTCCTGGTCTCCTTGATTACACAGAATGCTTCAGTCTACTGTTACCAGGAAGAGTTTTTTCACTTATCATCAAACCTGAGAGCAGTCACAGGAAAAGATGAGGCACTGCACATTGAATGCAAAAATAATGCAGTTTCAGAACTCACTTTGTTTTCTTTCTAGTGTGCAGAAGCTTGTCCTTTCTGAGTTTCTTTAGGGCATGGTAAAAGTAGGAATAAAGTCAAACTTGATTTGGAAGCATAATAAGAAATATCTATATAAAATGGAAGTGTTGCATTATTAGTTGAATGCATTAATATACTGCCATATTCAACGTTCATGATTATTTTATTTCACAATTGTGTTTACTATATTAATGGATTGCGTTCTTCCTCCATGCAAACATTTACAGTACTGAGCTTCCAGTTTCATAAATATCAACCCTCAAACATTTGACTTATTTTAAATGAGCATTCCACAATATTTAATTATCAGCCTTTCAAAAGGTCATAAGAGTGTTAGGTGCCAAATTCCAATTAACTTTCAATGGATGAATACTGAATTTTCTTAGGGTTCAAATTTCCAAAATTGGAACAAACGGAAAAGACTTAAACTTCCCCTCCCCCCCTTCTTAGGGAAAAAAGAAAAATAATATTTCAATAAGAAAATTCAAATGCATAATTTTCCTACAGAGTTTATGAGCATTGAAAGGACTTTTAGAAGAATATAGCTCTGCTTGTGGTTAGGTCTTGTACAAACAAAATAACATGGGAAGGGGTTCTTTTGTTGGAAGGAGCCAGCACAAACGCAATCCTCCTCATTTAAAACTACCCCATTCTACCCTGTGAATGGAGAGAAAATTTGCACAAGTACTACCCCCTTACTCTGTCCACCAGGTATAAATATTTTGTTATGGTGAACAGTTTAATAGACTTGAACCCACACAACCAATATCAACAACTAGAGCCCAGTACACTCTGAGATGACAATATTTGGTGCTATTTGTCTTTTATTCCTGTTAGATTAGTCTGTTATATTCTATTCTACAGCCTCTTTATGACTAGGAGCAATCAAGTCATTGGCAACTTACATAAGTCTAAATCCTGGAATATGTATGTAGAATGCTATCAGCAGGGATCTAGGTTTTCTGTTTCCCATGGAAAAACGGAGTAAAACATGGATTTCCCCCCTTACTGGATTAAAATGCAGATTTCTCATTTTAGCAGAGAAACCCACAGATTTTGAAATTTTACGAGCCCTCTGCAGGCTGGCAAAGTTACAGTCTGCAAAGGGATGCGAGGGAATGGGAGGAGGGTGCTCAGGCAGGCAGCCTGAAGACAGCAGCTCCTGCAGGTAAGTGGGGGAACTGAGGCCCCCATAGGGAGGGAAGGAGGGAGTTGAGCAGGGCTGGGCTGGGTCAGTGGGGATTAGGATAGGGGTGTGGGTGGCTCGTTTAGGGGGTAGGGGTGGGGCTAGCTCCAGACTGCTGCACACATTCCCACAGGGCAGGCAGGACCTGCACCCCCCCGATCTGTGTGTCAGGCAGGGAGGGCACAGGCTGTTCGCTGCAGGCTCGGGATCCCACCCTGCTGCCCTCCCCTGAGGCCTCCACAGCCTGGCACGCATGACCCAACACTGCAGGGAAGAGCTGAGCTGAACAGGAAAACCGTTTGCTGCTGTGAGATCCATGCTGCCCTGCTGATGCATCCCCTGTGTGCATGGGGCTGCAATGAGGGGCACAACCCCACACTGCCGTCTCCACTGCCCCCACATGCACAGAGGATGTGTTGCCAGGGCAGCACAGAGCTTGCAGTGGCAAGCAGCTTTCCTGTGCAGCTCCACTGTTCTTTGCAGTGCTGGGTAATGCCTGCTGGGCTGCAGAGGCCTCGAGAGAGGGCAGCAGGGCAGGAGCCTGAGGCCACCATGGGCAACTCACACCCACCCCCACCCTGCACACAGATCTGGGGGGTGTGGGCCCCCCCAGCCCTCAGGACTATGCACAGAGATGGGGAGCCAGCCCCACCCCCTGCTCCCAGATGAGCCATCTGCAGCCCCACGTGGGTCCCCCTGCCCCACAGGAGTGTGCACAGCAGCAGGGAGCCAGGCCCACCCCCGCCTGAGCCCTCAGCAGCCATGGGTGTGGGGGGAGCCAGGCTAGTCTTCATTGCTGCAGCCACTGCCTTCTGTCAGGCACAGGAAATTTCAGGTCTGGCTCCATATCCCTGGCAGCTGTAGGTCCCTTCTGGCAGGGTGGGGGGGCATGGGCATGAATGGGGGGTGAGGGGTACCAGCAGGGCTGGGGAAGGTGTGGGAGGGCGTGAGGGACACCAGCAGGGCCAAGGGTGGGCGGGGGAGTGAGGGGCACAAGCAGGACCAGGGGGCTGTGGCAGGGGAGGAAATGAGAGGCACAAGCAGAGCCATGGGGGGAGTGAGGGGCACCAGCAGGGCCAGGGAAGGGTGTGGGGGCCTTTTATTTTAATCACAGATTTGTGAAGAGGTTATCAGAAAATCTGTGGGGTTTTTTATATCAGGGAAAACCAGGATCCCTGGCTATCAGAGACTTTTGAGTGAATATGTTACATGTTCTTTGTATAAAATATATTTAAATATGTGAGCAAAAATACTCCCTTCCTTCCCAAATAATCTATTCTATTGAGACTGTAAACAAATAAGGACAAAGATTTTATTATACTCTGTGTAGTGCTTAGCCATAGGATCCTAATGTCAGTGTTTTTCTTCCCTGCTATTGTAAAATTAATGTTTATTGCTAGTGAAGATTTCTGGCAGAGCTTGGGCTGTAGACTTATTACGTTACTGTTACCTTAGAATATTATATAAATTCTACCCTTAAAACATCTCCTCTGGTATTATTATTATTATTATTATCATCATCAAATGTACTATTGCAGTTAATTCTGAGTAGAGAGTCTTCATTCCTACTGTGGCCCATTTACTTAGCTGAGTAAAACAGCTGGAGAAACAGAGTCCCTGAGAATTCTGTAATGTCAGAGGATTACCCCTTACACATGCTGCAGAAGCTGCTGCCTGAACACTTGCTTATTTACTAACCCTTGAATAAGGGCATATTGGGATTGGGAGAGCTCACAGCATGCAGAGCTGAGAAGATTTTAGACAGAAATGCATCATGAAGCCTACAGAGGCTACTATAACCTAAGTTTTGCAGGGGCCTTTTCAATCCCAAAAACATGCCAAGGAGGGTGCAAAGTAGCTAACAGACATCTTAGTTCCCCGCTTGCGAACTTAGGTTGTGATTTTGGTGTTGAACACCCTGAAGTCAAAAAACAATTCTAAGTCTGTAACATTAGAGAATTCTGAGCACAGCTACAAAGAGCACTTACTCTGAGGATCTGGAATTTTTAATGTGAATTGTGTATGTTTTCAAAACCATGAGAATAATGAAATATAAAACTCCAGACAAATCTTTGAACTAAAAAACAACTTTTAGCATTTTCACCTAAGTCACTGGATGTTCTTAGGCTTGTATTGATTACATTTCTTCTTATTCTTTAAAACACATTTTACAATGAATTATCTGATTTTAAAAATCAATAGGCTTTTGCTAAATGCTGCCACATTTAAGACCATAAGCAACTGATATTTAACAACATTTAGTTACACATTCTAGAGGGAATATTAAAAGCAGCAAAATCTGTAGAAATTATATGATAGTCCCACACAGATTCTGGTGGACCCTTGCTTTTAGGCTCTTTGCTAAACAGTATACACAGGATGCACAGACAGTTAATTGTGCACCACATTTAAATGCATGGCTCCCATAATATTGAACAGGCACTTTAGTCAGCAGTGGATAAAACTGAATTGTTTTAAAAGGAGCTATTTGACTGTTACTTGATCAGTGAATGTAGTTCAACATGATTTTTCTATAACTGCCTTTCAGAACAATTGTTCCGTTAAGAAGGATATTTGGTTAAAACAACATTTAGAGCAACTTACTAATTTCACTCTGTAACCAGGAGTAGCACTGATTTCCCATGTGCATTCCTTCCTACTTGGATACTTGTCTGGCCAGTTAGGACTTGTGATGATTCCATTTGGACTATGGATCTTCTGTTCACACTCAGCTGTGCCAAATAATGACAATACCAGTTAGTTTGGAAATCTGTATTAAGATGTAACCAGAAAAGCAGGGTTTTTTAGGCCAGAAACTCATTGAATGGAAAGGATTTTCAGGAAGCTAACTAATCTCATCTTCAGTCCACTATCTTGTTCATCACCTTTGGCAAACACATTATGGAGATTAATCCAATAATCCTTGTTTACTGATGGACATGAAGTTTACAGTGTTGTTTACAATGGATCACATCACCTTATAAAAGCAAATAATATATATGGATAAGTCTAAACCATTTATCTAAATACAGTTGATATTTTGCCATTTCCTTTACTATGCCTTTGTCACAAAGTTCAAAAGGAAAATCCACAATAGAATTCCTATCAGAATATTTAATGGTATTTCTAACCTTTCATTAGGTTTTCTGTCTTCCCATAAAGTATTATTAAATGATTTATTGAGACTGGATGAACAATGACACTGAATTCTGGTTAGCTACAGAAATGTGCTTTGTCACAACTGAATTATTGGAAGTGCCTCTACAAATAAATAAAACCATGAAGAATCTAAAAAAACCCCACGGATAAAACTACCCCACCTGCTTTAGCTCTCTTCTAATGTTCTCAAAGCACTTTAGAAATATCAGAGATTTAAGCAGCACAATTACTCTGGAAGAAGGTAGGTATTAATCTTCCAAAATTACTGGTGAGACAACTGAATCATAGTTCATTAGCCATATTGGTGTGCAGTCACCTGACTTGCAGAACTATCATCAACATATGGAACCACTCAGACATAACAAATTTTTACCAAAAGGAAATCTCTGCATCTACCCATGAAGCCTAGGATGCTGTTATCTTTAAATCATTCTAAATCTGTGGAACGGTAGGCAGTGTCAAAGTTAGATCCAGAATTTCAGAGCAGTTGCAGGTTTAGGCTTAGTGTCATTTCTGACTTGCACAACGGTGATTTGCCACTACTTGGCCTGGTGAGCAGGGGCCAGGACTCTACCCCTTCTTTGGAAGTGGAGCAAGGTGCGGTAATTATGGCAAAAGTATGAAACCTGGGAAGACATGCCTCTCTGGGCTCTATGCTCTCACTGCCCAGTGGCTCTGCTTCCAGTGCAGAGCTACTGGGGGTTAACCACAGAGATAGCATGAACTCAGGGAAAACATACTTCCCAGGAGGCTTGGTACTAGGCAGTACTCCCCACCATCCTCAAGAATAGCCACCTCTCCCCCAATTCTCCTGGCTAGAAGAGAGCCAAGTGCCACCCAGATGGGGGACAAAGGCTCTCTGAGGGGAGGGCAGTGTGCCTGACTCCCAGCCCAAGGTCCCAGAATAGGTCTCCTGGGCTCCTAGGAGCCAACAGCGTGGTGCCACATGGGTTGGGGTCATACCTAATGTGGGTGGGTGGAATCTGGGATGGTGGAAAGCTTGCCATAGGTAGAGGGGCTGGGAGGCATGCATCCTGGATTGCTGGATGACTTCAGATTCATCACTATCTCTGTGTAGCAGACTGTTTAACAACACCCTAGTTAGAGTTAGGTAGAGCAGCTTAAAGATAACCCTCACCCAGAGTGGCATTACATTAAGTTGCACAGATGGGTACTTAGCACAGTTTAACACCCTTTAATGCATGGACTCTCCTTATTTAAGAGCCTTTAGAATAGTTTAAAGGTAGCCTGGAACACCACCCTAAGGTGCTGCCATCTGCCTTCAGCCTCCGGATTCATGGCATCTGACCATGATATTAAACACTTAGTGTAAACAGGGGCTTTCATGTTTAACACTGCATAAAGGCACTATGCCTCAGCTACCTGAGACAAAATTAAGTAGGACAGTCCTTGCTTACAGTGAGTACCCTAACTCATCAAGGTTGCATTCCAAAGTAACCTGATTTGTTAATCAAGGTATTCAGCCACATAGACAAGGCTCCTCAAGTCATCTTTGGGAAAGCCTGGAACAGAACACTTACCTCCCATTCTCTAATACTGTGCTTTAGCTACTTTTCTTTGTTCCTCACTTGCCTAGGAAAGGTAGATGAAGATAACTTTCTAAGGTAACTGCATTGCTGTTATCTGCTATTCAAATACCCCAACACTTACCTTCTTTGCAATCGTGTTTATTTTCATGTAGCACAAATCCATTGCGGCACTGACAAACATAGCTTCCTACAGTGTTGATGCATTCATGCTGGCAGCCACCATTGTCCTTAGAACACTCGTCCTTGTCTAAGAAATATACAACATGGTTCTGTGACCAGCACATCTATGCACAGTTTGTAGAAAAAAAATCATAAAGCTTTATAGGAATATTTAAGTCCAGATAAGGATAAACTAATTGCCATGCTTCTCACTATAGCAATATAATTGTACCTTTGGCTCTACCCATTCATTGTTCAACCTGAAAACTTGCATCATGGCAGAGAAATTTGATTGGATATTTGATTTATTTATTATTCTAGTCTTCAAAAAGGACAAAAAAGTGGCTTAAAACAAAAAGAAAAAAAACCCCTCATCAATGTTTGCTCTTCCAACTGGATGTATTGATAAGAATGTCATCAATATCTCAAGAATAGCTTTATTTCAGCAAACAGGGAGTTTTAATACCCTGTGTGCTTCATATTGGCTTCTATGGTAGAAGGATGATCTAATAACAGTTCCACAGTTTAACAATAGTGATCAGGCCAAGCAAGGTTTCAGGCTCTGCACGTGTGGGTTATAAAAACATAAATTATTCAACAAAAACATTCTGAATAAGTTGATTTTTTTTCCAGCAGAAAAACAAATACACTTCATTTTTAATGAACATGGACATTACCGAACACCTCAGAAGGCAAAATAGATTATTAAGGAGCATACAGAAGAACCCAATGTTAATTGTTTCAGGGAGATCTGCAGCTTAGCATACAGTTCTGTTTATTAATGAATAATCTTTTAAAAGAGCTTTGGGTGCGTTAGAAATAAAGCAGGGAATAGGAGAGGAAATATGAATTGCGTTTAACAGCTACCAAAATCATTACAAGGAAATAAGCCAAACTAGATTAACAGGCAGTCATTCCAGCAAAAGGCATCAGCTGCCACCACTCCTGTCATTCAGCTGTTGTAATTTTAGGTGGGGCAGGTCAATTAAATCAAAACTGGCAGACTGGTCCCGACACACACACACATAATACCACATTGCACAAACTTCTAGCATTTTACCATGCGGGGATGGGGAAGCAGGTTATGGTTATGGAGGTAAGATTGATTCAGAGCATGCATATCTCCTTTATCTTCCTGCTCCCTCCAATGTATTAATGGAAGTGTTATATCATAACAAAATTAACATGCAATGGTTCAGATTTTGCTTGGTACGGTAGGGATTTCTACAGATACAAAAGTTTCCATGTACAATTTAGGTCTCTTGTTATTGCTTAACTCATATGATATTATTTCTTCCTACCTTTGCTGAAGTAATAGCACAGCAAAAGAAATCTGCTGTAAGAACTTGTACACATCAGAGCTTTACCCACCAACACGCAAGCAAAGTTTGACCAAAAGACTTGCAAGCTATTCAATAAATGCAATTTGTACTTATAATACATTGGCTATACAAAAATAGGATGACGATGTAAATTTATAGGAAAGTCTTCCAAGTCAAACCCAAGCTTCTACTGCATTTTCATATAAATCACACAACTGTTTGCACTGAGAATGCTCAAGCACTTCTTGCAGATGTAAACTGATCTGAACGTTAAGCAGCAGTTCAAAAAATGAAAATAGTTCAGAAAAATGCACATCCTAGGGTTTACATCTGTGATAATTTTATTTATGAAAGAAGTAAACATAACAACTCCAAAGTATGCTATTTGCAGAACAATACAACCCAGGCAGTCAATATCATAAATCAATCTAAATTCAAACAAACATTTTAATCTTTCATATTTTCAAAAGCAAGCGCTAGTTAAGAAGGGGAGAGAGAAACACACAAGAAATTAGAAGACAATAGAAAATGAAACTCTACAGCTTTTTTTCTTCTAAATATTAGTAGCTCTTTTCTATTAGAAAAAGAAATGGAAGGTAAGATCAATGCATTCAAAGTTAGACACTCCAATAAAGTTCAGTCAAACTAATCTAACTTGATAAATAAATAAAAGCCCTTTGCTTTTCCCCACCTGCCAAATTGTCTGAAACAGAAACATTTGTATTAACATTAAATAAAGACGTATACTGTAGAATAATCTCTAAAGGGACAGGTGCCTTAAGAATGAGCATGTGCTGGATCCCTGCAGAGATCAACATTGTGCAAAACATTAATCACAAGGTAGGAGAAGTTCTGAAGCCTAGTGAAACTACAATGGAAATAATTATTTGCCCACAGTTAATGAAGGATGCATTGGTTGAACAAGCCTTACCCACATTTTACAAGTCAGTATAGATTTTCCATCAGGTCTGTAGCCCAGTTTTAAAATTCAGGAAAAATTAGTCTGTATTAGTTATAGAAACAAATGTTTTGCTGAGTAAAAACAAAACCATTTGTTATGCTGACAGATGGAAATCAGTCTCCCAGTTTTGAATGGATGCTTTCTTTATGTTGGGTCCCCCACCCTCTCCCCCCAATATTCAGAACAGGGAAAGATCCATTCTCAACAAAATGTTAGATATAACCATTCAGAGGGCATGTGGTCATACCTCTGAGACTCTCAGAGGCCACCAGTCTGTGAATAATACGTACTCGGCCTGAAGAAACAACCTGTATCAAGTTCTTGCATGATTCAAAAACAAAAATTTTCTCTTTGCAGGAAGCTTTCTTGTCTGTGGGGAAGAAAATGTACCAGGATGGCACCAAAAGTGAATGTGTGCTCCAACACAAACCTGCTTAAGGGTAGAAACATTTCAGATTTTTCTCTTTAAATGCTCACTGAATAATCATCCACAATAGGACCCCAAGAAAAGTCATTTTAAAGTGCACTGAATTTAGTTACTGTTTTAAATAATCATGAAAATAATCATACTAATTTCAAACCACAAAAAATAGCCTTAGAGCTCATGATAGATGGAATCATTTTAGCAACATGTTGTGCTTGATGTTTAATCTTCCCAACACTTACAAGTGGTATTTAAAAAGATGATTAGGGCTGCTTTCAGGAAACCATCACTTTTTCTACAAAGAATGTTAAACATTGTTCCCCCCCCCCCGCCACCCCAGAAGCAAGGTCATATTGCATGATTCAGAAGTCCACCATTCTCTACTGTCAAAGTAGCTTAAAAACTAATTTACAGTTATACAACATTTGTTCTGCTATCAATCAAAAATCATCCTGAAACAGCCTCTGGTCCACCACATACAAATATACACAGATGTTCTTAGCTACATAAGTGTGCATTATGAAAATGTGGGTGGCAGTAGTGTAGTGAAGAGGTAATAATGTATTATTAGAAGAAAATGGTCATGTTAATGGAATTCTGATTCATTTCTTCCGATCAACTAAAATGCACATTTCAGACCAAGTGCCCATCTCGGTTCTTTTTACAAGCCTCCACTTAGATTTTAGTATGCACTCATTAAAACTGTCATTCATGTCAGTTTTTGATACTAAGAGATAGTTAGCCATGTTAGTCTGAAGTCAGGCAGAAGAAAAGCAGAAGAGCACCTTAGCGACTAACTTGTTCAGAAAGTAGCCTACTTTGTTAGAAGCTATGAATGCTCCATCAGATGTATCAGATTAATTACCATACTTACGGGTGCTTAGGCTGACACTGTGTATAGATCAACCCCCAGCTTTCTGATCTGAAAGGTAAGGATTTCCATAGGCACAGTGTATGTCAGAGCCAGGTTTGCTGCTTGGCTGGCACGGCCCCTTCCCATGTGAGCAGCGCTACTCACAGGGGATAATGCCATGCCAGCCAAGTACTGAACCTGGCCAAGCCCAGCCCCATCTCAATTCCATCCTCTACGAGTGGCACTGTGCTCGTAGGGGAAGGAGCTGCTGAGAGAATGGTGCTGCCGAGTGCTGAGCTGGTGCTGCTTGCAGGGAATGAGGCCACTCCATCCCCTGAGAGTGGCACCAGGCTTGCCATTTGGCAGCGTTACTTGCAGCAGACAGAGCCAGGCTTGAGGCTCGGCTAGCACGGCTCCATCCCCTGCAAGCCTGGCGCCACTCGCAGGGGACACAGATGGGGCTGGGCTCAGCGCTCAGGTGATGTAGCCTCATCCCCTGCAACTGGCACCATCAGCACCACTCACAAGGGATAGGGACAAACCAGCCAAGTGCTGAACCCAGCCAAGTCCAGCCTCAGTCCCTATTTTTGATGTGGGCATGTTGTATAAGTTGAGTTTGATTTTTAAGACACAAAAATTGGCTGCAAAACTTGACTTATACACCTTGTGCTGCTGTTACTTGTCCCCAGGGAATGCTCATGCCACACACACTCTGGTGCATGGCGGGTTACACTGGGTAGGGTAGGAGAGGCTGGGGCCAGCAACTGTGGTGGTCGCAGCAGCCTTACCTGGAGTCTTAGGGGCCTCAGGAAGCTGCAGCCATGGCACTCCTGCAGCTGGGAACATGGTAAGCAGCCAGAGAGTGTGGCTACAGCTGGCCAGGCTCTGGTTTTGGTCAGCGTGCTGCCAGCATTTGCACTACTGTGCTTTTTTATGGTGTGGGTCTCCCGGGGTCAAAAAACACTCTCCCGTGCTGCAAAGTAGCAGTGCAGGGCATGCCTACATATGCAGCATGTGGCTCCAGAGATGGGTCTGCTGCACCACATAATGCATGTCTGTGCTTGCCTGGATGCAACGTAAGGTACCACCCTGTCCTGCCTTTTGCCAGTCTTTGATACTGAGAACTAACTATATGAAGATGAAATTCTATATTGGCACAATCCACAATGCCTGTATTCCTGGGTGGATAGTAACTTTGCAAGAATTGTTGAAGTGTTAGATTTACCAAAATTGACTATATGAAATGTCTCATGCAGAAGGCAGTCAATTATTTTTTAGACAATTTCCAGGAACATCAAGAGGGACATGGAGAACCTGGAGAGGGTCCAGAGGATGGCCACTAGTATGGTTGAGGCCACTAGCATGGCCAGCCCTATGAGGAGAGGCTGAGGGACCTGAATCTCTCCAGTCTCTGCAAGAGGAGACTGAGGGGGGATCTTGTGGCTGCCTACAACCTTATCAGGGGCCACCAGCAGGGACTCGGGGAAAGTCTGTTCACCAGGGCCCCCCTGGAGTCACCAGGAACAACGGCCACAAGCTGAGGGAGGATAGGTTTAGGTTAGATATTAGGAAGAACTACTTCACGGTAAGGATGGCCAGAGCCTGGAATAGGCTTCCCAGAGAGGTGGTGCTCTCACCTTCCCTGGAAATTTTCAAGAGGAGACTGGATAGGCACCTGGCTGGGGTCTTATGACCCCTCCCACCCCGTGCTCCTTCCTGCCCACGGCAGGGGGTTGGACTCGATCTGTCTAGGTCCCTTCCGACTCATTGATTCTATGATATATTAAACAGACCAGTATCCTGTCTCCATCACTGCCCCAAACCAAACACTAAACAGAAAGTACTTGACCCAAAAGTTACCTACAAATCTTCCACAGAAATTGGCTTATGCCATAACAATTTAGGGACTATATCCTTTCCAAAGTCATTTCTAAGTTTTTACTATTCTAAAATTGTCTATTGCTATTAAATAAAAGTCCGAAAATTTTGATACTCCTTAACTTTACACTGAGGCGATAATTTGTAGTAGTATGTTTTATAGGCTAATTATGGAAAAATATCAATTTGAATTTGCCATATTTCAAATCAATTGATCACTCGTAAATTTAAAAAGGAGTATAAGTCTTTAAGAAGTATTTCTCAAACAACTCATTTTGTATAAATTTATCATGTCTTTCCCGTTTACTCATCTATTCTCCAAGATCATCATCACCCATACCTTTCATCCTTGAAGGAATTGGGATGTTAAGCTTTGTATCTTATCCACTTACCTACATGCTTCATTAGATATATAGATTATGTGAAGCTGTAAAGCAAGGGCAAAGAGCCCTTTTTTGCTCTTTAATAATCACATTGTATTTCAGCTACTGGACTGTCCAGCGGCTTCTATGAAAACCATGATTGGTAAATCTGAGGTGGTATTTCTTGCTTTTTTTCAGGCAGTATGATTATTATCTGTGAGACTGTTACAGAGCTTGTTCAGTTTGAGTTAACTTTAACCTATACCTCTGTCTGGAGCTCAGTGTTTCACTGAGGATTAGGATTGGTGATTATCGTTCCCATTTGCATGAATAATTCTGGCTGATGTAAACACCTTTTCTAGTCATATAAGACTTGGCATCTCCAAGTTATACTGCTGCAGCGAGGTCCTAATTTGGCTCCCTTCAAAATTCTAGAAGCTACAAATATTGGAAAATATAGGTCCTTGTTTGCTCCCTTATATAACACCCGGGAGCACATTATACCCAACTTCCTGCCAGAGGACATAAACCAATGCCTTCTTCCTGAAATTTAAATCCTTTATAGCTCAGATTGCCTCCTGCCCTTGCTCCTGTTCCAACACTTATGGAACTTGGGTTCTACCAATATTGAGTTGGCAGGTTGCTAACTTTCATGGCTGAGCAACTTTGGTTATACAATTTCCTTCCAAGGGAAACTCAAAAGAATATCTTAATTGTACTTAAGGCATGTACCACCTTCCATTTATTCAGAGCAGTTTATTTTTAAAAATGTCTTGGCTTTTCTGTTGTTTGGGTAAAGTACTGTGCTCTTGCTTAGCATTGCATGGACCTTTTGTTGGCATATGTATTGCAAGATGGATAGTTTGCTTCCCCATGGACTAAATGTTTTTGGTGGTTACAGACTGTATAATTAGGCTGGTTATGACTTGTTTTAAGATCTTTTAATACATTTATTATGATTATTGTGTATGTTCCTTAAATGTTTCCCAAGAGGTACTTAATACACTGAGAACCAGACATAAATTATGCTAGCATACTGTACTTTAACCTCTACTCTGCTAAACATTGTCTTGTAAGGCACAATTAAATAAGGAATACAGACCCAGGTCCAAGTCAAATGATGAACAAATATCAGCTTCCAAAGGTCAAAATGGGTGCCGATAATTTCAGGCCATATTAAACTCCTGCTCCATGGATCAAGAGCATATGCTGCCCAGATCAAGGAATGTCTAGTGAGTTACCTGTCATTCCTTTTTTAGCAGTAGTGTGAGTTGGGCAGCTAGGATTGTTGAACTACTCTGAGAAGAAGGGAATGGCAAATTTGTTTTACCTAATTTCAGACAAGGGAATGGCAAACATATTGGGCTCTAAAGTTTGATTCAGATTTAAACAATATCTGGCTTTAGTTTTGCTTAGGAGAGCCTGTAAAAAAAAAGGGGGGGGGTAAAAATAGATCAAATCAGAAGAAAACAATCCTAAGTCACTATCTACACATGTGCCCATATTAGAGTGCAGTAAATTAGCTCCACTATAAAATAGTACTTGTCCTGGACAATACTATCCTATGCTGGAGTAATTTACACCACTACAACACATGTGTAGATGGTGACCAGGTCTGGATGGGAGAGTGGGGTGGGGGGTGCTGCCTGCCAGATAGTCCTGTACTATAGCACCTTTGTGCCTCAGCCAGCCCCTCTGCTGCCTGATGTTGGCACCCAGAGCCCAGAAGTGTTCTGAGGGGCCCCCTGCCAGCCAGGGGCTTCGCCACCCCAGCTCAACATGCTGCATTCATGAGCACACATGGAAACTCTGTGCCTGGGAGAAATAAACTCTGGCACAATCTGTACCAGAGT